GAGGTCAGCAGCGGGTCTGCGCCGCCCCGCTACAGCCTGTTGGCGGAGATCGGGCGCGGCAGTTACGGTGTGGTTTACGAGGCTGTAGCGGGGCGCAGCGGGGCCCGGGTGGCGGTCAAGAAGATCCGTTGTGACGCCCCGGAGAACGTGGAGCTGGCGCTGGCCGAATTTTGGGCCCTGACAAGCCTCAAGCGGCGCCACCAGAACGTCGTACAGTTTGAGGAGTGCGTCCTGCAGCGCAACGGGCTTGCCCAGCGCATGAGCCATGGCAACAAGAGTTCTCAGCTTTACCTGCGCCTGGTGGAGACCTCGCTCAAAGGTAGGGCTTCCTTGCCCACTCAGGGCTTGGGCTCTCTGCTTCTGGGACCGCCGGGTCCCCTAGGCCCTGGTCCCGGTCCTGTCACCCTTGGCCCAGACACACCCTCCTTTCCCAGGCCCAGGCTTTGGAACCATCTTCTTGGGGACTCAGTCCTACCCTAAACGTTCGGGGAGTTCCACGAGAAGAGCTCATTTAACTGCTAACCATCGTAGTATGTATTCAGTAAGTGTTAGCCTTTATTAACAGCTAGCACTAAAGATGGAAGGGGGACAGAAGGGTTCAAGCTCAAAGTTGACTGATAGAATTGCCAAGCTTCCTCGCTCGCCTTCCAAGGTCTCTTCTTTTTCCATTCTAAAACAAAAACTTCACCCTCTCCCCTTCTAGTTCTAAATTTCCTTCAGTCCCACCCCTAAAACTCTTGCTTTTGTCTGAGACCCCAGGCCTCCATCCCTGGGCAGGCAGTCGCCCAAACCCTGGGTTTTCTGGCTCAGTCCTTTGGGGAATGTATAATAATAATAACTCTTGTCGGGTGGGCCTGGAGCTGTCACACAACAATATCCAACATCTTTTCCCGCCATTTGACCTTCTTAATCTTTTTCCTGTGGGACTGGCTGGGAAGTGGTTTTACTTATAAAGAAAATAGAGCTTCTTGACCAGGAGGCTTAGAATGCCAACTGGGAGGATTACAGGTAGTCAAGGAACTGTTCAGAGAGAAAGGGCAGTGGGCTAGAAAAGGGGAGGCATCCAAAGGCCAGAGAATCCAAGGGAAGAATTAATGTGAGTCCCAGGGGTGGTCTGAGTACTGAAGTGATTTATCTGTTTAGGTTTTTTGAGACAGGGCCTTACTATGTAGTTCAGGCTGGCCTTGAACTTCTGATTCTCCTTCCTCACCCTCTCAAGTGCTGGGATTACAAGCATCCACCACCACCCCTTGCTCTGAAATGATTTTTAGAAAAAATATTAAAAGCAAATTCTGTCCCCTTTCTATAAATAGAGAAACCAGACCTTAGAGGTGAACAAGTATAATTTGATTTAGGTTAATCAGCTTGAAAGGGAACTCTTTAACTGCTGGTTTCTGTGTATGTACTTCTCATAGCTTGAGTCTGTCTTTATTCAAACGGGGTGCTGCTGCTATCTGTTAAGGATGACCTTTTAATAACCAGTAGGATATGGGGTTTGATAGGACAGTTACCTAAAATCATTTTTGAGCTTTTGCCCAGTTTCACTGTAAGACCCCACAAGACTATATTCCAAGAGACCTCCATGCCCCTTTCAAGTCAGTTGTTTGACAGTCATATCATCTGGGGGCCTTTTTTCAAAAGACTTCCTTTATGCCCATCCCCCACCCCTTCCATTCTGAAAACCCCAAATCCCCCCAGGGTGAAACTTTTGTTTTGAAAAGTTTCCCCAAGGAGATTCTTTTATCTTGCTTATATTCTAAGAGCTCATCACTTACAGGTCTTTGTTCATAATTCTCTATGGTTAATAATGAATCTGGACTTCCATATTTTAGGACTACAAGGGTATTAGGATTTGCTTTTCTACTTTTCTACCTTCAGTTCACTCATGCCTGTCTTGAAATTTCAACCATAGCTTGCTGCCTTTGTTTACTCCCCCAAAATATAAACATATTGCAGCTTTCCTCCCAGGTGAAATTTTTAAGAATTTCACAGTAAACAAAGGCAGCACAGTATAGTAGTTAATTCTGAGGACTTTGAGGTTAAGCTCGCATTCAGTCTTCGCTTGTCCTAAACTGATGCATGGGCATGGGATCAGTTTAAAATCTGATGTGAGGGGCATAAGGTAGAGATACCTTTGTCATAGGGTTGCTGTGCACACTGGGAATGTCGGTAATGCTCCAGATAAAGAGACATTCTCTGCCTCACTAAGTTTAGCCTTCATACTGAGTCCTCTTCCACCTTCACCCTTTTTGAGATTTACAGTCTTTTTGAAGTTTCCCAAACTTCTTTGACCATGGAACACAACTTTATTTCCTTGTGTTGTCAGTACCAGTGTATCTGTATCCTCCTTTTGAGAATTACAACTGAAACAAATGAAATAATTTTCTTTAGTCCACTTATTATGATTTCTTTCAGTTGTTTGGAATCCTCAAAATATTTGAGCCGCTATAGTATTCTGGACTCAGAGACAACACATTGAAGAAAAGTGTTTCTGTTTAGGAAGTAGGCTAAACTTTCATATCATGTTTATTCAGCATGTAGTAAATAGTCATTTTTCACTTTTCATTATTAAGTAGAATACAGAAACCCAAATTTCTCCAGGTTAAGTTTTCCTGACCCTATTTTCCAAGATTTATCTGTCATGCTCCATCCTAGGGTCCTGGGCTTTCAGCATACTCCAGTAAGGTTCGAGCTGAAAGGGACCCTAGAGATACATCCTGGTTCCGCTCTCATTAAATGGAAAAATACTTTGGAGTTACCCATTGCCCATTTCCTACACCTTAGAATGATTTTGAAATAGAGCAGAGTGATAACCTGCCTTGAAGTCCCAACCGAAGCAGAAGCATACTTTTTACTGAGTCCCCTATAGGGGTCTTTGAAAGAAAAGAAGGGAAAAAACTCCTTGTCCCAAAATCACTTACATTTGAAAAGTTTTAAGAGCTCTAAAAGATTGAAATGGTAATCAAGGTCACTGGAGGAAATGGCACAAATGTTAGCTCATTAACAAAGGCTTTGTGGAAGATTTATACAGAATTAAAAGAACAGAGAGTTAAAGGAGAAAGTGTGTTTGAAAGAAGGCTGTCTGGGACCGTGGTTGGTAGAGATATTGGTAGAGATAAGTGGAATATGTTTCAGTGTTGGGCCAGTAGAACAGTTATATTCCTTTTTTATCTCAATTCCCTAGTGAATATACATAAAGGCATTTCTATGGTCTCAAGAAATCCCTTGATGTATAAATAGTCCAATATTAAAGAAACTTCTTATCCAATTTGACGAACTTTCATCCTATCTTTCCTTTCTAAGCATAAACCAAACAACCCTAAACAAAACAGTGTAGAGAACAGACTCTGTAGTCAGAAGTCCTAGATATCTGATCTAGCCTGTCTCACCAGGCAAGACACTGGACCTCAGAAAAGGGACAGAGTTTGCCCAAAATGAAGTAGTAGAAGCATTCAGACCAGCCTCCCAGATTTTTAACAATATTGTACATTATTTGGTTGTATGTTTAGTGTTATTGAAGTGTCTTTCACATAAAAACAAGGAATCTACTGGCTACTTTTTTGATGGGTTTTTTGTTTTGTTTTTTGAGATAGGGTCTCACTATGTAGTTCAGGCTGGCCTCAAACTGACAGTGATCTTCCTGCCTTCCCTCACAAGTGCTGAGATTACAGGCATGTGCCACCACACCCAGCAACAGTGTGATTTTAAAACCTTTAAAACAGAGTCTTGGCTGTGTATCCCACTCTGGTCTGGCAATTCTGCCTCAGCCTCCCAAGTGCTGGGATTATAGGCATGCACCACCACACTCAGATGCTTTTATCCTCTTGTTTTCTATTGCTAAAGAACCCTGTCCTGAATGTACCTAAAACAAAGTTCAAACTGCCACTTAGAAAATAACAGAGCCTGACCATTGTCAAACTCAGAAGTTCTGTTGCTCCTATCGCCTTCAGATAAATAGCAGTAAGGACACCTCCCCCTTTTCTCTCGTTTGTTTGTTTGTTTGGGGTTTTTTTTGCTACCAGGGATCAAACTGGAGCCTTTTCGTTTTCTAGGCAGGAGACAGAACCACTGAGCTAAGTCCCTGGCCCCCCTCTTCTCCTCCTCTCCAGAAAACTCAGGACAAATTAAAGGATCATAAAACTAGTGGTTTAGTAGAGCTGAGAGCCTGGAGCTTAGTTTACCTCCAGTTTGGTAAAAAGACACTAGTTATGTTTGCCAGTTGTTTAATGTTTACTGTACTCAGGTGGGCTTTTTTTTTTTTTGGTGGTGGTGGTGGTAATGGGGATTGAACCTAGGGCCTTTGAATGGAGCTATACCAACTATATCCCTGGGTTACTCCCTACACAGGATCTTGCTAAGTTGCTCAGGTTGGGCTCAAACTTGTTACGCTCCTCCCTCAGCCTTCCAGAGTGCTAGAGTTACAAGCATGTACCACCACGCCTGGTGTCTTTAGGTAGCTTGAGGTGGTTGAACCTAAGCCCTTGGAAGTAGTCTTGCCCTGTGCACCAATACCAAGTGACCAGGCAGCAGTTATATAGAAGGGGCTACACAAGGTACCTGTCCAAATGAACAACAGAATGTAAGATACCAAGTAGTGGCATCCTAGCAAACATTTTCTCTTTCAAATTTCAGTTAGAGGCAGTGATAGTGAGAGAAGAATTAGTCTGAGGGAGACCAGGGTCTTGGCAGGAACTGGTTGTCACTCTGCAAGCTCCCCCAGGCAGTTGAGTGCCTAGGAAAACCTTGGGGCTCAGCAGGGCAGGAGTACCCCATTCCCAAGCTTCTAAAAAGCAACTGAATTCTGTTGTGTCTTAGGCCTCAGTTTAGAGAGCCCCAGTTAAGCAGAGCTGGAAGGTGATCTTGGTTACCTTGACATGGATAAAAATGGCCTCAAGAGTACCTGTAACAAATTACTGGGATATAGAAGAATACTGGATATGGAGTCAGAAGGTTTTAATTCCAGTTTCACCGTGTTAATCAGTTAAAACTTAGTGATTGTTATGTGCCTAGTTCTGTTCTAAATGCTTTTTTAAAGCTATTCAGCCTTCACAACCACGTTGTTTTTGTTTGTTGTTATTGTTGTTTTGGTACGGGGATCAAACTCAGGACCTTGCCCCCCACCCAGCGGCAGAACAACTGAGCTAAATACCCAGCCCCCAACCACCTGTTGAACTCAGTGCTGTGATTATCTTTTACAGTTGAGGCAACTGAGGCACAGAGGTTAATGAAATTGTCCAAGGCAAAACAGCAAATCAAGTAACCACGCCAGGCTTGGACCACAGACATTGCAGCTTGAATCAGCTTTCCTCATCACTGTGG